TTTATGCATCATTGCACATCCCAAGTTTTCTCGTGTGTTCAGTTTGTGGCAGGAAAGTGGCGGAAGCATTAAATAGTAATGTTCTAATTGGTTCTTTGTTTATTAATAGTGGAAAACTGTGGACTTTGTGAAACCTTTGACACCTAATACTTTTTATTTTATCGGAAACTTTTATATTTATTTTGCACATATTTAATTATACTGTTTTCAGGGATGTAAAATTTCAATTCTTATTATTATATAGAAGATTGCTTGTATGTCTATAGATAAAGAATAATTTTTTTATCTGCAAAATTTTGTTAATCTTGTACATGCATACAATATGTACCTATACGTTCAATCATGATATTGTAGGGAAAGAAGGTAATAGATATTAAAAAATGAAGAATATCACTCATCTATTCATCATAATTATTATACTACAAAACTGTATAAAATAATATGCAGCTGTACTTAAGATACAGTTGTTCCTGTTCGGGAAGCAGATGTTCCTGTTCAAGAAGCAGCTGTACCTGTCTAACATGCACCTCTACTTGCCTTAGAACAGCAGCAAACGTCCAGGAAATAGCAGCTCCCGTCTAAGGCGCAGCTGCACCCGTCTAAGGCGCAGCTGCACCCGGCTGAGACAGCTGCACCCGTTTAAGACAGCTGCACCCGTCTAAGACACAGCTGCACCCGTCTAAGACACAGCTGCACTCGTCTAAGACACAGTTGCAACCGTCTAAGACTCAGCTGCACCCGTCTAAGACACAGCTGCACCCGTCTAAGACACAGCTACACCCGCCTAAGACACAGCTGCACCCGTCTAAGATGCAGCTGCACCCGTCTAAGGCGCAGCTGCACCTGTCTAAGACACAGCTGCACCCGTCTAAGACACAGCTGCACCCGTCTAAGACACAGCTACACCCGCCTAAGACACAGCTGCACCCGTCTAAGACACAGCTGCACCCGTCTAAGACACAGCTGCACCCGTCTAAGACACAGCTGCACCCGTCTAAGACACAACTGCACCCGTCTAAGACACAGCTGCACCCGTCTAAGACACAGCTGCACCCGTCTAAGACACAGCTGCACCCGTCTAAGACACAGCTGCACCCGTCTAAGACACAGCTACACTCGTCTAAGACACAGCTACACCCGTCTAAGACACAGCTGCACCCGTCTAAGACATAGCTACACCCGTCTAAGACACAGCTGCACCCGTCTAAGACACAGCTGCACCTAAGACGCAGCTCTTGGCTGGTGACTGGAGATGACCAGGAAGATGGCGTCGTGCGAATATCCTCCTCACCTTATTTTTATTATTTTTCAGTTGGTGAGTTTCGTGGGGCTTTGTTTTTGGCGCCACGTAGAGCAATTGGCTTCGTTCTCGACTCACAATCGGGGATCCCGGGAGATAATTCCCAGGTGGGACAGAAATGGTTGGGCACGTTTCCATTTCACCTAATTCGTCTGTTCACCCAGCGGTAAATAGGTACCCCGGGAGTTAGTCAGCTGTTGTGGAGTTGCATCCTGGAGAGGGTCAGTAGTTCGAGCGACCTTGGCGTGCCCTTGTTACAAGCGAAGTTTTTAACCCTAGTTTGGAGTCCAAGCTGATATATTTACTCCATATAATTATATATTTAATATAATAAATCTCAAAATTTATAGTGGAAGAACAAACAGGATGTGTCAGTAGTAATTTTAATTAATATAACTAAATTTACTGAAGACCTTATCCTAAGGTGATTGTTATATAGTAGAAATTGCTTTTGTAAAAAAAAGATATCTCATATAGTTTATCAATCTGAAAGAATGTTAAAAAATAATGTTTTCTATTCATTATTTCATTAAATTATTGAAATTAGGTGTAATAATATAGGAACATAATAACAAGTACAAGTAACAGTGCAAGGCCCATTGGCCCACACGAGGCAGCTCCTAAGTGGTGAAGTTTATAACCAGAACCGTGCGCGCCATCTCAGCTGATGGTTGACAGATGGTTGAGTGTGACGGATGAGCGTGAACCATCACATGCTTAGCGTGAAGGCGCACACCAATGAGTAGGTCCTCACTAGTTAGTCACCTTGTTATGGGGTTGTATCCTGGGCGGGGTCAGTAATTCGACCTTGGAGGAGGGAGGACCTTGATAATAGCCGAAAAACGTGTATGTATACACTCTGGCTTCCTGTCCCCCGACACAATGAATTATTATTATTAAACAAATTTCATGAGGAGGCAACACTGAGCTTGACCCTTAACACTCATTATAAGTTTTAAGCTCAACACCTTACCATTGCAAGGCTGCATCCTGTTGTGTGTGTTCTGAGGCGAGTGTTGGAAATATTTCTTAATGTGATGTTTTGAATGTAATAATTAACATGTTGATATGCACATATACACATCTCAAGGATCTTCTCCTCAACTCTTATATAATTATTTCACTGTGTCGAGGGACAGGAAGCCAGAGTGTCGAGGGACAGGAAGCCAGAGTGTCGAGGGACAGGAAGCCAGAGTGTCGAGGGACAGGAAGCCAGAGTGTATTCACACGTTTTATGGCTTTTATCGAGGTCCCCCCCCCCCTCCTCCAAGGCCGAATTACTGACCCCGCCCAGGATACAACCCCCACAAGCTGACTAATTCCTGAGTACCTACTCAGTGCTAGGTGAACAGAGTGACTAGGTGAAAGGAAGTGTGCCCTATCATTTTTGTCCCGCCCATGGATTCGAACCCGAAATTCTCGGTTGAGCGTCGAGAACAAACCCGACTGTACTACCAGGACCCTTAAATTTTCGCCATCCTGGTATTTATGGCCGTGTTTTTGTATATTATATATTACACGCTTATTATATATATATATATATATATATATATATATATATATATATATATATATATATATATGCGGAAAATCCACAGAGAAATATGAAATGAGGTGAACGTTTCGGCTTTGTTAAAGCCATTGTCAACACCAGACTGACTGAGTCAGTCAGACTTCAGTCAGTCTGGTGTTGACAAAGGCTTTAACAAAGCCGAAACGTTCACCTCATTTCATATTTCTCTGTGGATTTTCCGCATAAAATGATCAGTGTTTTGTGATCGTCAATTGCATATTATATATATATATGCGAACGACCTGAATGGTCCCCAGGACTATATGCAACTGTTTCTCTTTTTGTGAGGAACACTGTTTGTGTTCCTCACGTGTTGCCCCAAAGAATGAGGTGATTTGATAAAATGCTATGCCCAAGATAACCATCCGAGTGCCGGCGGGGTTCAAATAGTAGTTCAAATAGCTTCGGTTTTCACTTCCTTATGTCTGGTCGTGATGGTCAAGCGGTTTAAGGCGTCCTGTACATACCAGTTGCGTTACTCCTGGCAGTATGGGTTCGAGTCACTTCTTGGGTGGTAGTTTTCAGTTGTATATATATGCCTCTGTTCGCCTGTTCGTTATGTTCACATTTTGAACTATACACTATCCTATTTTCTATATTCCTCCAACTCTGATGGCTGTGTTTTTTAACCACAAACTATCAATAATATTTAATGTACATAAAGGTACATATTTTTACGTATGAAACCGTGGAGAATTTCTAGGGAAGAAATATACATTACATAAAGCCAATAATACGCCACTAGAATTACAGCGGGTGGGAGGGATCGTCAGTGTAGGTGGGAGGCACCATCCCTCTCCCCTCATCCCATCCCAAATCCTTATCCTGACCCTTTCAATAAATAAATAAATAAATAAATAAATAAGTGTTATTCCGCCAAACCACAGCGCCGAGTCACGTTGTGACTTGGCGCTTTCTCCTGGTAGATCCCTTCCCTTCAATATTGGAAGGTTCAAATTGCTGGTTATAATGTTCAACTTCAAGTATGTTTATTGAGACAAGAAAGAAATACATCTCAAAGGGATAGAGTAGCTTAGGCTATTTCTATCCCCCTAATGTGCGAGGTTACTGAACGGGGTGAGAATAGCTTGAGCTACCTCATCCCTTTGTGTGTATTTTACCTCAATAAACTTATTTCAATTTCAATTTCAATTTCAATGTGCGAGGTCTTCTTCCCACAGCTCGACTTAAAGACCTGCTTGTGACGGGACGTCATCGTCCCGTCACCTTCTAGTGTGCGGTCTGGTCAAACTACTTCAGCCACGTTATTGTGTCTCATCGCCTGCAATACAGATTTGTATCGATCGATTATTGTTATTATCATAACAATATTTATGGTATATGAGTTGCCAATATTGGTGGTGGTTGAGACAGGTGTGGCTTCTCCCCTGTGTAACCTTGGCGGCCGTGGGGTTCCCCAGGCGCTGCTCCTCTCATTCTCTGGGGTCACTGACGATTCACAATATCATTCTCTTCTGTGGTTCTCTAACTATTGTTGTTTATGCCGAACGAGGAGAATTCAGATGCAGGATTGTATACTATGATAGTGATTGTATAAATGAGTATTTTGTGTCTGGGTTAATTGAGAGATGATTGTGAGTTGAAGCTTGTGGATGTTACCTGATTTTTTTTTTAGGATGTTCATTATATAGGTGTTTGAAACTTGATATAATTTTCTCTCCGTCAGGAGATAATAGTATTTGATTTCTGTATTATTTAAGTAAATGTCAAATGAAAAAAAACCCTCCAACACTTAATATTTTATCATTGTTGCGCTAAACCAAATCATCTGACACAAATATATAAAACTACTGCGCATATGACAGTTGCCACTTACCAAATCAAAGCAGACCAGAAAGCACAATTCTACCATTATTGTTGAGTTTCTGACCCTTCCTCCTACTATCTCTTAAATAAATTGATAGACAGTGTAAATAAATTAATAAATAACATGCAAAAAAAAAAGATGCTGTATTGGGAATATAAAAATCTGGCATCTTCGTAAGAAAAACAAGTTTTTAAAGGTATGTTCACTTGCCTTGAAGTCCTCAGTCAGCTACCGGCGCGCGGGTTGACAAGTGCAGGTGAGGATTGAAACAAATTTTGCCGGTGAACCTGTTATTGATAGCCATGGATCCTAAATTTACCAGTTCTGACGATGTAAAGGTTTGACAGTACAATGTGGAGCTCTGAAACGCTGTATAGCTACTTGCCGACTTCAAAACAGAAAGGTGTTATATATGCCAGAACATAAAGATGAAGTGATAGCCAGGTTAGGTTGGAAACGGATTTGAAAACCTTCCTAATTAAGTTACTTATCTTCTTGTGTGGGCGTGATCTGAATCATTTTTATCATTCTCCAGAGATGTCAACATTTGTTTTTTTCACTTTCTTAAAGTTTCGTATATAATACAATATACATATATATATATATATATTCGTATATAATAATATATTCGTATATACAACTTCGGTCTCCACTTTAGTGCGCTTAGAAACACAACACTACTCTTTCTAAATCACTGATATCGAAGTTTTAACTTATGGTAAATTAGAAGAAACATACAGTAAGTTCCCCTCCTATTGTATGTTCCCTCTAACTTCCTTCTAATTTCTCTTCTAAGTTCTATTAGGAGGACGGATTGCTCTGTGGCTCATTTGAATACTCAGTTTCCACCCGTTTGAGTAGAATATATTGTGTGACCACTCAAACAGGTGGAAACTGAGTATTCAAATGAGCCACAGAGCAATCCGTCCTCCTAATAGAACTTAGAAGAGAAATTAGAAGGAAGTTAGAGGGAACATACAATAGGAGGGGAACTTACTGTATGTTTCTTCTAATTTACCATAAGTTAAAACTTCGATATCAGTGATTTAGAAAGAGTAGTGTTGTGTTTCTAAGCGCACTAAAGAGGAGACCGAAGTTGTATATACGAATATATTATTATACACTACATACACTGGATCTTCCTCACATGGACAAATATATCTTGAATATATAACTAAATTACTATATCATTATATTTTAAATTATCATATAATTATATAACTAAATTATTATAACATTATATAACAAAATTATTATATCATTAGATAACTAAATTATTATATCATTATATAACTAAATCATTATATCATGATATTAGCAATGCAGGTCCCTGCTTACATGTACCACTTACGGGCTATTCATGCCCGTGCCACCTCTTGGGTGGCTTAATCTTTATCAATCTGCTTACATGTGTCTTAGCTCTCACATCACTCCCGTGCCAGGTAAGTCCACTACGGGCTCACCATAGCCCGTGCTACTTGGAACTTGTTCCGAGTAGCTGAATCTATAACAACAACAACATGTGTCTTAGAGCTTCCTACGAGAGTGTAGGAGCCACTACAAGTGTTTCTGACTTCATTTTCTCTCGTTCCATCCTCAGGTGGTCCCAGAACGCAACGCACGAGCGATGGTACGCCTGGTGACGCCCTTCGCCACCCTGGTGTTGGTGACGCTGGCGGTGGCAAGTCCCCAGAGGCCAACGGGTAAGTCAAGGTTTTAGGTTTTACCTGTGGAAACCACTGCGCTATAATGAGGGTATATTCAGTGCGTAGTTAAGGTGCGCGGCTGGGAATATCCTGATTCGAGTCATCTTGTTGCTCCAGTTGATTTTTATCATATCAATAAGCAGTAAGAATAACAGAAGCAAGGTAATTGCAATGTGAAAGGGTAGATATTGACTACAGAGCCAATGTTGTTAAAGATTCGCTACCTGGAACAAAATGTTCCAAGTAACATGGGCTATGGTGAGCCCGTAGATAGTTATATTCTATAAAGAGCCAATGTTGTTAAAGATTCGCTACCTGGAACAAAAAGTTCCAAGTAACACGGGCTATGGTGAGTCCGTAATGCCTTTGGAGTGGTTATGTAGCTATAGGATGATTGTGAGGTCATGCGGGTGGGGAGTTATGAGGACAAGATAGGATTGCGTGAAGGAATGGCGCCCAACGTATTTCCTGTTGTACAATTGTATATCCTTGTTGTAATTCACGTTGTATTTACGGTTGAATGCATTATTGAATGTATTGTTGTATTTTCTATTGTTACCAAGCTGTTGAGGGACACCACCGGAGGCTGGGAAAGACCAGAGATGGTTGTCATGGTGAGAGATGTCTATCTCACAGCATCCTGGAAATAACCTTCGGATCCCTTAAGATCTGTTGTCAAAACCTGTCTTCCAAGACACTGTTGCCAGAATCTGTATTTCATGAACCAATGTTACTTTAGTTATTTCATTTATTTTGCACCCTATACTCATCCAGTGGGCAGTAGTGGAAAGGGTTATAGAGGTACATAATGGGCTCAGGGACTGAACCCCACAATTCATTTAGGTAAGCAAGTTACAATCTTAACTTGTGTACATGATTTGAGAGAGAGAATCAATATGGCTTAAGGCGTTGAGCTTTGCCTCACGACGAAGCTTGGGCTGATCTCTCATTTGCTTCTTGGGTGGAAAGGGAGGGATTAAAATTGGAAAGGGTGTAATCTCCCACGGTCCATCAATGTTGTAAAGCCTTTCTTCAGTAAAACACTGTTGCCATAAATAACTCCTTATTGAAACACTGTTGTCAGAACAACTCTTTATTGAAACACTGTTGCCAGAACAACTCCTTATTGAAACACTGTTGTCAGAACAACTCCTTATTGAAACACTCTTGTCAGAACAACGCTTTATTGAAACACTGTTGCCAGAACAACTTCTTATTGAAACACTGTTGTCAGAACAACAACTTATTGAAACACTGTTGTCAGAACAACTTCTTATTGAAACACTGTTGTCAGAACAACTCCTTATTGAAACACTGTTGCCAAGGCTGTCGTAGAACATAAAAAAATCCATCTTCGTTAAGAATGACTAACATTTCATTGAATTTCATGAGTATACTCATTTAATTACCCTGCAGGAACAAGCATTAGCTCTTGGGCCCTGGCATTTCAAATGTTGGCTGGGAATTCAGTGATTCCTGACCCAATAGAGTTCTTTGATACATTTAAACATAAGCATATTACTGGATTAAGATATATTTCCCTACACCTCTATACTTCATCTTCATGTCTAGATAGCGTCCATGATCTCTCTGTTTTTTACGTGTTGTACAACTTGCCCGAACCTACTTTGTCAAAAGGTATTTGTATTATGTACGTCGCGGTCATGTCTCCTGTTGTCTGCTTTTAGAAAGATCCGCTCTTAGCGTTCCCTCAAGTGCCGATCCGCTTCGTTGAGAGAGAGAGAGAGAGAGAGAGAGAGAGAGAGAGAGAGAGAGAGAGAGAGAGAGAGAGAGAGAGAGAGAGAGAGAGAGAGAGAGAGAGAGAGAGAGAGAGAGAGAGAGAGAGAGAGAGAGAGAGAGAGAGAGAGAGAGAGAGAGAGAGAGAGAGAGAGAGAGAGAGAGAGAGAGAGAGAGAGCTAGCTAGAGCTAGAACGAGAGTGTGAGAGAGAGAGAAAACAGATGTACAAACAAATACAAATTAATTAAATTACAATATTAGCTCTCAAACAATACAAAAACTAGACGAACTAGAGATAAACGCAAAAAATAAGATATCCGGAAAAGAAAGTGTACTATCACTTAGCATAACTTCAATAACCTTCAACGATGACATGGTAGTTTAGTTCCGGGGCTGACTGTAGGATGCAGTCAGCGCGATAAATTTACCGATCAATGCCAAACGAAATTGCTTAGTTTCCCCTAAAACTTATTGTCCAACTCTTTGTCCTCAGTAGTTTACACCGAAAAAATGAACCCTATGAACAAATTCACAAGGGCCGTGACGAGGTTCTAATCCTCGTCACGGCCCTTGTGGATTTGTTACATTACGCTATTGTGATTTAGGTGTGAAATGAACCCTATATTTTAGTATATGTAATCCGAGTTTACATTACCTAGGGTGTAAGCCAAACACAAAGCCAATGCAAGTATTGCAAAAGTGTATACAATTATATAGTGAATATATAATGACAGCATAAAACTGTAGTTGAACCTATTTTACAACAATATTGTAGTATTTATGATATAGTGAAACAACTAAAATCTTTGCATATATAATGTTATGATTGACAGCAATATAAGGCGACTATTCCCATTTAGTGTTTTCATACTTAGGAATACAAACCTTTCTTGCTCCTATGAACACGTGTATACATCCTGAGCATGTGCACATGTAAGCGTGTGTGTACATCCTGAGCATGTGCACATGTAAGCGTGTGTGTACATCGTGAGCATGTACACATGAAGGCGTGTGTGTACATCCTGTGTTTGTCACCTATGAACGTGTCTACATCCTGAGGATGTACACCTGTGAACGTATATACACACTGGGTGTATTACAGCCGGCTTTCCCAAGCCATGTTTAGCTGGATAGATAGATAGATAGATACGTTATCTATCAGTGCTTGTTTTTGTATATTTGTAGTTCAGTTTACACAGATTTACAGTAAATTGTTTACCTAAGAGAAAGTTATTTTAATAACAAGCGATATCTGTAATGATAAACTGTAAACTCAAGAATTTGAATTAGATTTAGAAGCTTCATTTATCAATTTAAAGTCATGATCGTTGTCAAAATCAGAAACAAAGTTTCATAAATTGTTACAATAATACCTGACCTAACAGGTTTACATCAGTCTTAATCAATGTTGACCAGACCACACACTAGAAGGTGAAGGGACGACGACGTTTCGGTCCGTCCTGGACCATTCTCAAGTCGATTGTGAATGGTCCAGGACGGACCGAAACGTCGTCGTCCCTTCACCTTCTAGTGTGTGGTCTGGTCAACATACTTTAGCCACGTTATTGTGACTCATCGCCTGCAGTCTTAATCAATGTTTACCTTTTGGTTTAAAATGAGTAGCATTTAGTTAACAATTTGAAAGGGGGTATAAAGTGGAAAATTAAAGTGTAGTTTAGTAAGTCGAACCTCCAATACTGTCGAACGTTTGACCACGTCGCCAAATAAAACCTAATTTTCAGTAACTGTGCCCCCCCCCCCCCCACACACACACCAGAGGGGATAAACTAGTTCATCTCAATGTTTGCTGATGATGCACAAATTGTGAGGAGGATTAAGACAGAGGAAGATAGTATGAGGCTACAAGATGACCTAGACAAACTGAAGGAATGGTCCAACAAAACCACTCTAAAGTTACTACTAAAGTTCAACCCAAGCAAGTGTAAGGTAATGCAACTAGGCGGTGAAAACAGGAGGCCAGACACAGGATACCGAATGGGATATAAAATCCTTCATGAAACGGACAGAGAGAAAGATCTAGGAGTTGACATCACACCAAACCTGTCTCCTGAAGCCTACATCAAAAGAATAACATTAGCGGCGTATGCGAGGCTGGCTAACATCAGAACAGCCTTCAGGAACCTGTGTAAGGAATCATTCAGAACCTTGTATACCATATATGTAAGACCAATCCTGGAGTATGCGGTCCCAGCATGGAGCCCGTACCTTGTCAAGCACAAGACGAAGCTGGAAAAAGGTCAGAGGTATGCCACTAGGCTAGTCCCAGAACTAAGAGGCATGAGTTACGAGGAAAGGCTGCGTGAAATGCACCCATGTCGCTGGAAGACTGGAGAGCTCGGGGAGACATGATCACTACCTACAAAATTCTCAGAGGTAAATTGAATGGGTAGATAAAGATAACCTGTTTAACACGGGAGGTACGCGAACAAGGGGACACAGGTGGAAACTGAGTACCCCAATGAGCCACAGAGATGTTAGAAAGAACTTTTTCAGTGTCAGAGTAGTTAACAGATGGAATACATTAGGCAGTGATGTGGTGGAGGCTGACTCCATATACAGTTTCAAGTGTAGATATGATAGAGCCCAATAGGCTCAGGAACCTGTACACCAGTTGACAGATGAAAGGCGGGACCAAGGAGCCAGATCTCAACCCCCGCAAGCACGACTAAGTGAGTACAACTAGGCGAGAACACACACACACACATTACGGGCCTCACGGCTGAGTGGACAGCGTTCTGGGGTCGTGGTTCTAAGGTTCCGGGTTCGATCTCCGGCGTAGGCGGAAACAAATGGGCAGAGTTTCTGTCACCCCTGATGCCTCCTGTTCACCTGTACTGAGGCTGAACCTTCAGATTATAACCAGTTGTCGTGGCTGAACACTCCTACGCCCTCAGAATCTAACGCAGGTTTAACATAGTCCTCCCTCTACTTCTTCAGTAACTAATAAATGGACAACAAAGACCTTTCACAGTCTTCTCAAAGAGAGATATATGCACAGAGATATATTCAGTTTCTTGGTGTATACACACTGAGAGTTTAGTTCTGGACTCTGTTCAGGACTAAAGTATACTTGTTGGTTGGTCAGTAGGCTGTTGTGGTGGTCTTAATTACCCTCTAGAGGTTGATAGGCCTTAATTACCCTCTAGAGGTTGATAGGCCTTAATTACCCTCCAGAGGTTGATAGGCCCTAATAACCCTCCATTAAGCTAGCCTTCCTCTCTTCTCTCCCTCCAGATCTTCTCCCGGAAAAACTGGATAAACTCAAAGAAATTTTCGAAGCCGTTACAAATACAGGTAAAGTATTGCATGCGGGATTTGTTCCAGTATTAGGCTCAAGGCCTATCAACCTCTGGAAGAATATTAAGGCCACCACATTAGAATACTGACCAACCAGCATGTATACTTTATTCCTACAGGTGGCATGTATATTCGTCTGATATTACAGGTAGAATGTATAGCCATTTGGTCGTACAGAAAGCATGTTTATCCATGTTTACATACTGTGTGGGCACATGGACATGCCAAATCTACTCTCTAACGTAACTCCTGAACTGTTGTGTGTCTTCCTGCAGGAGGAGGAGGAGGCGACTGTCCGGACGATTGCCCGGATACCGTCAAGCCCGTTTGTGGTTCCAACAGTGTCCTGTACCGCAATGACTGTTCCCTCGCCAGGGTCGCCTGCAGGGACCCGACTCTCTCTAAGCGCAACGATGGACCTTGCTGTGAGTACTGACGAAGGCGCCTAACAAGAACTTTATTTTAATTTTATTTTAATTTATTTTATTTACTTTATAATTGTATTTTTATTTATTTAATTTATTTATTTACTTTATTTACTTATTTTATTTATATTTATTTGCATATTTATTTTATGTCTTTATTTTAATTTATTACGTTGTTGCTATTTGTTCATATTAAGTTAGTTGCAGGACTTAAGTGACAATAACATGATTGAAAGTTAAATACCCAACCCACACATCAGGAAAAAAAAAAGGATTTGACGATGTTTTGATCCGTCCTGGATCACTTTAAGTCGGGAACTGATTAGGCTTCTGTTCTAATTAAATTTGTATTAAATAGGAAAATTAAAAAATTTAAGTGACGTGATTTGGTTAAATACTTTTTCTAGTTAAACCTACACGAGCGCCGGGCTTGCATAACTAGGTGCTGTTGCAGGGAAGATAGTATGTGAAATGATCGCTTAAGAGATGGCTGTGATTTGAGAATCAAGCTGATCCTGTCCTTTATTTTCCATAGAATCACTTTGATTGCGTTAGATCCAATAACAGCTTCGAGGATTGTAAAATAAATATAAACTGATCGATGATTTTGGATTGGCAGAGGCTGTTGCATATTAGCTGTTCTTTTTGGATTGTTTTTTGTCGATGCTCTTTAACAGTGATCTTAAGAACATAAGAACAAAGGTAACTGCAGAAGGCCTATTGGCCCATACGAGGCAGCTCCTATTCTATAACCACCCAATCCCACTCATATACTTGTCCAACCCGTGCTTGAAACAATCGAGGGACCCCACCTCCACCACGTTACGCGGCAATTGGTTCCACAAATCAACAACCCTGTTACTGAACCAGTATTTACCCAAGTCTTTCCTAAATCTAAACTTCAAGATGGTATCTTGTGGTACCATCTTGAGTACAATCGTTCCAAACAAGAAAATGAAGTCACTGGATAGACCTGTTGTTTTCCTAATGATTAAGAACAAATGGAAAACGACAAATCACTTTTGTTTACCTGGATGATCGGGTAAACGGAAGACCTATTATGACCTGCTTAAAGTACAACATCTTTTTAGACTATATTGGCAGCGTTTAAAATCGCCTACAATAGAATTGTGGAGTCCTGAAGCTAAACTTGAATTAGGACAGGGTTGTGGGCACCTCGAGAGAGAGATTACCCCTCACCCTAGGCGTGGGAATGAGTTGATCAAAAAAACAATGGGGTTAATGTTACTTTCTGATAATTTAAATGCACAGTAGCAGTCCTAGGCGTTCAATCCCCGACCGTCCAAGTGGTTTGGTACCATTCCTCCCCATCCCGTCCCAGATCCTTATCCTGATCCCTTCCCAGTGTTAAATAGTTGTAATGAATGTGCAAGTTGTGTAAATGTGCATCTTTTTGTGTGTGGATAGGCAGGCGAGAGGGTTAATCAGTAGACAAAATATTGAAGTAACTTGCTAGGCAGGATCAAGTATAACATTTGAGGGTTTATGGCCCATGCTCTATGATATGAAAAATTGGTTTACTGAGAATTATATAAATTATATATAAATGTAGTATTTTCCCTAGTAAATTGATTGATGTAAATATGATCTTTATATTTCATATTATATAACAAAGAAAAAAATTCCTCGTACATATTTTATTAACTGACATTGAATTTTAGATCAATATTACGTTTTCTACAAGTACTGTCACTCTCCATTCAATCACCTGCCACCCTCATCTTGAGGTTATCTTCAGATGATTTCGGGGCTTTAGTGTCCCCGCGGCCCGGTCCTCGACCAGGCCTCCACCCCCAGGAAGCAGCCCGTGACAGCTGACTAACTCCCAGGTACCTATTTACTGCTAGGTAACAGGGGCATTCAGGGTGAAAGAAACTTTGCCCATTTGTTTCTGCCTCGTGCGGGAATCGAACCCGCGCCACAGAATTACGAGTCCTGCGCGCTATCCACCAGGCTACGAGGCCACCTAAATATATTATATATTATTACAAGATTTACTGTTCAACACACACACTAGCCCAAAAAGCAATTACATGCCAGCCACCTCTATAGATTCTTAAAACCAACTTTTAATTTCACCAGTTGCTACGCAGTCACCTCCGACCGGGTCTCGCCCAAGCGGCGGGTCGACGATAAACGCTTCAACACAGTGTAGAGAGGAGTGCACGAAGATATACATGCCGGTCTGCGGAACTGACGGCAGGACTTACAACAACAAGTGCATCCTGGAGGCGGAGAGCTGCAAGTCCCGTAACTCTGGTGGGAGAGGCATCGGGATTGCTGCAGAAGGCGTTTGTAGTAAGTGAAAAAGAGAGAGAGAGAGAGAAAGAGAGAGAGAGAGAGAGAGAGAGAGAGAGAGAGAGAGAGAGAGAGAGACATAGAGAGAGAGAGAGACATAGAGAGAGAGAGAGAGAGAGAGAGAGAGAGAGAGAGGGAGAGAGAGAGAGAGAGACATAGAGAGACAGAGAGAGAGACAGAGAGAGAGACACAGAGAGAGAGACACAGAGAGAGAGAGACAGAGAGAGAGACAGAGAGAGAGAGAGAGACATAGAGAGAGACAGAGAGAGAGACAGAGAGAGAGATAGTCGAGCTGGTAAACTGGTGGCAGGCTTTCCATATTTTAATTGTATTCAACTATCTTAATTCCTTTGTAGCTCGACAGCCGGTAAATTTGTTAGCCGTTTTCAACGCATGATACGATGATTTAGAAAGAGCGTTGTTGCTTTATGAAGCAACTGGGTAACATGATAGATGTGGGATCGATGGAGTATTTAAAAAGTTATAATATTATATTATATATATAAATGCCCTTTGCAGTGTCATTTATTCTCATATAGTCTCCGTGGCGCAGTGGTAAGACACTCAGGCGCTTCGCGAGCCGGGGAAGATTGAGTGGGCACCAGTCCTTAACTGTAGCTTCTGTTCACCCAGCAGTGAATGGGTACCTGGTTGTTAAACGATTTGGCGGGTCGTATTCCCAGGCCTACGCGCTCGCGAAATGACGGTCGAGTGAGTTACCACTGCGCCACAGAGAGACTGTCCGTGCTGTGGCGCTTGTAATTATTGAGAGCAATATCGTGCATGAACTCATATATCTCTTAATGCCACTCAACGCGAAGGGATTTTTTCCTGAGAGATCAATAAATATTAACATTCAATTATCACTAAATTCAATTATCACTGGATTGTATTCAATTATCACTGCATTGAATTCAATTATCACATTTAATTATCACTGTAACTTGGCTTTCTACATACTATTGTCTTGTGTTCTATCTCAATATTAAACGCAAGCCACATTGCTCATGAAATATATATATTCAAATATTACTAATAATATAATTGCCAGGCGTGTAAATCCGTCCCATAATAATAATGAACACTAATGTACTAGAACTCTGCAATAATTTTGAAAGCCCTTAAAAACGTGCAGCTTAATTTTTTTTTGTTATTACATATTTTCCGGCAAGCACAAATAGAAGACAATTTCATATTGTACTGTCAATGTCTAGATTTCATATTGTGTGTCTTTAATTTAATAAACACTAATTTATTAAGTGTTTACATCGACACCAGTTATTCAAATTCCCCTCCCAAGAACCGCTAATTGTCCTCTGATCACTAAACAGATATTGTATTGAATTTATTGAATAATAAAGTATTGAATGGACATTCATTGACTTTTCTCACTAAAAAATAACCTCATTTCACTTTTGTAAATAAAAGCTGCATTATCAGATAGCGGCTTTAATCATGGTAAAGGAATATATATATAAAGGTATAACCCCGGTATACTGTGTATGTTCACAGAGTTTACTTTAGTCCTAGATTATGTCCAGGACTAATGTATACTTGCTGGTTGGTCAGTATACACTTGTGGGGGCCTTAATATCCCCCGGAGGTTGATAGGCATTAAGCCCAACACAAAGATAAAATAGTTTGTGCTACATATTGCATTTTTGGCCCGTTTTCTGTGATTAGCAACGAAAATGTATTTTCCTCTAAATCGCATCAAAAGTATTTTCCTATATGCCGATTAAGTATGTAAAAGAGGAAATAATAATAATAATAATATCTCTCGGTGTACATATTCTTTTGTGTGGTAATTATCACAACAAAAGTGAAACAAGTAAAGAGTCAGACTTCTAGATTATCTAACTTGCCCCGTTCCGATATATTGTTTAAAATTTTATTGTGATAAAAATGCATTTCCTATTTAACTATTCATGCTGGTTCCTTAGTAAGCTAGTGTCGAGGCCTTACCATAAGAACATAAGACTGAAAGTAACTGCAGAAGGCTTATTGGCCCAAACGAGGCATCTCGTATTTATATCCAGCCAATCTCAGTCTAACCTACGCTTGAAACAATCAAAAGGACCCTACTTCTATTATGTTACGCGGTAATTGGTTCGACAAATCAACAACTCTGTTGCGGAACCAGGGGTTCGATAACAGCCTTTCAGAGGATGATGAGTCTTAAGCCCGACACCAAACCATGGAAAGAATTTGTAAACGCTCTAATGCACTAAACTGATGGCTTATAAGATATTTAGAAAGCTCAGAGGTGATGTGGTGTATAATGGAGAAGTCATTAGGTTGAACACCTTTTCATAAGGCCAATAACTGGTTGGGTGACTTCGCGGATTGCCGCATTCCTTGGCTAGTAGATGCCGCCAATAAGCAACCTCTGAGTACCGTTGTCTGAATTTGACTTAATCATTATCTAACGGTGGTAGACGAGTGGAATGGGTTGCTAGCCATCATAATTGAGACAAATGGTATAACTACCTTCAAAAATAATGTTTTAGATACATGGGAATGTGGCGTTGAATCTATAATGAGCAAAGCCCACAGTGAACTGAAAGACCAAACTGCGTTGATTTCTATGTCTTAGGCCCTAAAGTTAATGGGAAACTTAGGTATTTTTTGACCAGAGGTACTAGTAGTGTCATCCCATTGTTAATTGTAGCAGGTTTCCTGAGATATACAGTTTATTTTCTTCCATAGCTGATGTTTATATTCTCAAACAATTGTGTGTGCTACAGGCGCCAGTGACTTGGCCAACAAGTTACATGTTGACCAGACCACACACTAGAAGTTGAAGGGACGACGACGTTTCGGTCCGTCCTGGACCATTCTCAAGTCGATTGTGACTTGAGAATGGTCCAGGATTGTGACTTGAGAATGGTCACAATCGACTTGAGAATGGTCCAGGACGGACCGAAACGTCGTCGTCCCTTCAACTTCTAGTGTGTGGTCTGGTCAACATACTTCAGCCACGTTATTGTGACTCATCGCCTGCAACAAGTTACATGTTTCCTGACACCCCAGAAACGCTATGCGTACTAAGAGGCTTTACAAGAACTTATGAACTATTGTATATATAAATCTAATACAAATACTAATTACTTAAATCACAATTCCTAAGTCTGTATTATTTTCCAACAGAAAACGACACTTGTCAAACCAACTGCGGGGACTCGTACCAGCCTGTGTGTGGCACCAATGGTGTCACCTACAGTAACAGATGCGAGCTGACAGCTGCAGCCTGTAGAAATGCCACTATCAGCCAACGATCTGAGGGAGCCTGCCGTGAGTAGACCTATAGAAGGCTGTAATTTTATATAAAGTATTTTTTTCATATTAAAAATATCTAAGTTACTGTTCAAAAGATTGCACTATGCAGGGATAACTATTTAACACAGTGTGTCACTGAATAGTCAAGAATACCAGGATATCGTTCAGGATTCTAATATAAGAACAAAAGTACAATGTCCAAGGAATCAGTCACTGATACCTGGTTGATACCTGCTTGATGGGGTTCTGGGAGTTCTTCTACTGCCCAAGCCCGGCCCGAGGCCAGGCTTGACTTGTGAGAGTTTGGTCCACCAGGCTGTTGCTTGGAGCGGCCCGCAGGCCCACATACCCACCACAGTCACTGAGGATTCTATATTTGGACAAATAACAAGGAAATTGTATTATAAATCATCTCGTTTAGCTTGAATAACAGCCGTCTTAAGTATTATATGAAGGTGAGTACACACTTTGACACAAAGATTGTTCCCCTTTTTAAAACTCGGCGCCACATTCGCTCCGACGGGGAGCCGGTCGGCCGAGCGGACAGCACGCTGTACTTGTGGTCCTGTAGTCCCGGGTTCGATCCCAGGCGCCGGCGAGAAACAATGGGCAGAGTTTCTTTCACCCTATGCCCCTGTTACCTAGCAGTAAAATAGGTACCTGAGTGTTAGTCAGCTGACACGGGCTGCTTCTTGGGGGTGGAGGCCTGGTCGAGGACCGGGCCGCGGGGACACTAAAGCCCCGAAATCATCTCAAGATAACCTCAAGAAGATAGCTCAATGTTACATTCTTTAAGTACCTTGGCAAATACCTCGTCTGAATGCGAAAACTTGCTGGACGTGAGTTCAAAATTCAAAAATGTTCAAAATTCAAAAATGTTCAAAATTCAAAAATGTTCAAAATTCAAAAATGTTCAAAATTCAAAAATGTTCAAAATTCAAAAATGTTCAAAATTCAAAAATGTTCAAAATTCAAAAATGTTCAAAATTCAAAAATGTTCAAAATTCAAAAATGTTCAAAATTCAAAAATGTTCAAAATTCAAAAATGTTCAAAATTCAAAAATGTTCAAAATTCAAAAAATTCAAATATTTATTCAGGTAAAGTACATACATACAAGGTGAGATACAAAACGTTGATGGATTTATAGATAGCGCTATAGATGGAGAGTTCAGAGAATTTAGTACATTATTTTATTGACGTTGTGAACGCTCGAGAGGGCGGGGTGAATTTGGATGCCTTTTTGATGAGTTTCTTAAAATTGTTTGCTGTAATTACAAAACCCGTCTTGTGCCATCAAATAATGGTTCAGAATGTGGTTGAACAATTGTAAACGCTGATTTTTTTTTTTTATCTTATAACAATTCCACAGCTAAAGTTATTTTCACTGTCAAAAAATATTAAAATTGTATTTCCGGAGCAGTGTAAGAACTAGGGGCCAGATTCACGAAGCAGTTACGCAAGCACTTACGAACCTATACATTTATTCTTAATCTTTGGAAGCTTTGTTTCCAATTATTAAACAGTTAATAAGCTCGGAAGCACCAGGAGGCTGTTTATAACAATAACAACAGTTGATTTGCAAGTTTTCCTGCTTGTAAACTGTTTAATAAATGTAACCAAAGCCGTCAAAGATTGAGGAAAGATGTACACGTTCGTAAGTGCTTCGTGAATCTGGCTCTAGGATAGTATTCCTTCAACACTTTATCACAAACTTTGAAACCTAAATATTCCTCTTTCTCCTCAGCACCGTCAACCTCCAGAGTGCATTCCGTCACCGTCAGTTCAGTTCAGGTTCCTCCTATTCCATCCGCTCCTGTGACGACCGGCCCGGACTGCCCGGATACATGCAACCCAGGATTCCGGCCTGTGTGTGGCTCGGACGGTCAGGTATACGGTTCGGAATGCAAGCTGAATCTGGCCCGATGCAAGAACAGCAACCCGTCGCTAGTCAAGAAGAATGACGGAGTCTGCAGTAAGTGTCAGTTAGTGTGGGAGATGAAGCTCGTTTTCTAATCATTACAACTGTATACTGTTAAGCGTAGACTGCATAAGGTTCTTTAACAGTTCCAGAGATGCATTCTGGGAAGAGTCAGTAGTTTGAGCTTGCGGAGGGGGGATGGAACTTAATATAAACCTAACATATAAACATACACAGGCTGGTTGTCCCCCGACAAAACGAATTATGTTTCAGCGTCAACTGAATAATGCTAGAAAACTGCTACACTTTGAGGATTACTGAACACCTCAAATTACGCGTGAATCTAATTAAAAGTAACAGATATCAGGCATAAGCACATTTTCTTCTATTCTTATCGGCAGCGTTATGACTGAATAACCAGAAGACAAAAATAATTGGGTGAACGTGTATGAAACAGGAAGGAAACCTCCTGACTGCGAGAAATGCTCTCGACAAGAGTGAACGCTCTTCGTGTTCCAGTTAGAATTCTAGAATAGCAGTGGATTAGTCTAGAGTTTATTAGTAGCACATCACAGAATTAGCCTGTGGATTATTCTCCACTGAAATTATTAAATAATCTAGCCAGTGGATTATTACATTTTTTTTTACATTATTTAATTTAAAATGTGATATATTTTAAATGTAATAATTTCAAAATTTTTTGTGATTTTATTTAAGTTAAATTATTTTAATATGCAAGATTTTAATAAATACAATTTATTACTAATTTTAAAAAAACTATGTGTATGAGCTTACTGAGCCAAAAATTCTGAGCTAAATTCTTAATTGAGAAGCTACATTATTTGAAATAAAGTCAATATATCCCCTCAAAAGTCAAAAGTTACAGAGAATTTTACTGAACTTCAGAGCATTTACCAAATCAAAGAAAACTGAAAGATTATGTTATGTTGTGTCTCTCCAGCCAAGGATTGTAGTATCGTCTGCTACGAGGATGATGAACCTGTCTGTGGCAGCAACAAAGTTACTTACATCAACGACTGCTTCCTGGCCGTTGCTCGCTGCAAGGATCGTTCCATCTCCAAGGTTTCCAACGGCGCATGCAGTAAGTGATCACTGCAGTATTTACAGGAAAAAATCTCCAACAGTATGTACTAAGTCCTCAGTACTTCCAGAAAATATCTCTAACAGTATGGAGTAAGCCCTCAATGCTTACAAGAAGACCTTGAACAACTGATGCATCAAGCTCTTTCCAGAGGGTTTCCAACCTTCTGTACATTAAATCCAGTTCTTAATATTATGGAAGACACGATTGCCTGTAGGTCTTCAGTTCCGTTAGGTAAGTCTATAATGATCCTTACAGAAAGCCGTCAGTTCTGCCACAAGTCTCTAACGCAGGGAGACTTCCATACTGTGTGTTGGTCTATGGGGAAGTATGTATAATCTTGCATTTAAATCATAATGGTTATCCTCACTCTTGGTGGATTTTTGGTTCATCAATAGGTTGCACAACAGTTCTGTTAAATGAACAAATCCACAAGGGCCGTGACGAGGATTCGAACCTGCGTCCGGGAGCATCCCAGACACTGCCTTAATCGACTGAGCTACGACAGGGTAAAAAGAGTTGAAACCGAAGTTCTACTGAACTTACTGGATCCCGTAATTTGATGCATGAAATGGATCATTTGATGCATCACGTTAGTGTGATCTCTGTGTGTAACAGTTCTGTTGTTGACGAGGTAGCTGGCGGGATGAGCAGGATGATAAATTTTGAGACTAGTTTCACACAAATGTGAAAATCATGCCCAAAACCTTTGGGAATTTGATGTGGGCTGATAAAGCCTAATGATACGGATGATAAACTCCGTCCTCTCGAGTATTCACATGACAGAAAATGGGGCACTAAAATTTTCGAACTGAACCCTAGACTAAAAGCGTTCATGAGAGCCGCTAGGACGTATATCCCGTTATTTGTTCACATGGGATTTTGACGTCAAAATGCCGTGTACTCTGTGAGATGACGGGTTGCAACATCAGCAACATAGACAACAAAGCTAGCAATAACGAAGTTGATAATGATACATTCAAATCTACCTGTTGTAATCCGTGTTCACCCTCTCACCAGACACCACAGTGCGACCCGTGTGCGCGCTACAGTGTGACGAGGTGTCCAACCCCGTGTGTGGCAGTGACGGAGGCACTTATAACAACAACTGCCAGCTACTGGCCGCCAGCTGCTACTACAGGGGACTCATCAAGCTCTATGACGGCCGCTGTAGTAAGTATACCACTTGTGTGACGGCCGTTGTAGTTTCATAGGTTCGTGACGGCAGCTGTAGTATGTGTCCCAGGTGTGCGACGGCCGCTGTAGTAAGTATACCACTTGTGTGACGGCCGCTGTAGTTTCATAGGTTCGTGACGGCAGCTGTAGTATGTGTCCCAGGTGTGCGACGGTCGCTGTAGTAAGTATACCACTTGTGTGACGGCCGGGTTAGTAAGTATACTACTTGTGTGACGGTCGCTGTATTAGGTATACCACTTGTGTGATGGTCGCTGAGGTAAGCAGTCTCCACTGCGATAAAGTGTCCGCTGTATTACGGTTGCTTCATTAAGTACCCATGAGAAGATGGTCAATGCAACTGGTGTCCACTGCATGATGGTCAATGTTGAGAGTGGCCACTGAATGTTTACTTAAGTCATTAAACTGAAATAAATTAAATTCATTGTTAAACTGCTTTAGTTTTGTGTTTGGCTTAATAAGTCCTAGAACTGTGTATATACACCAAGAAACTGCATACATCTCTTTGTATTAATATAAAAATTGTAAATTTCTATAACTTTGGAATTATACCACGACTGAAACAGTATAGTATAAATAGTACACATATGCTAAAAGGTTGTATTTCAGGAAGTATCAGGATATATGTGAATGTAATCTTGTGAAAAAATCATATTTTTGTTTTAAATATTATTGAAGTTTCCGTATTTAAAACAAAAATGTACTAATATTTGTGAAATCAAATTTAAAATTTATTTTAACTTTGCACTTTCTTCACCCTAGAAGCTAACAGCAAGTGAAACAGCACTCTGCAAGGGCTTCAACACCGGAGCACCTCCTCCGAGCAACACCCCCAGCACAGTATTCTAGCAACCTCCAGTTCAGCATCCTAGCAACCTTCAGTCACAGCATCCTAGCAACATACAGCACATTTTCCTAGCATGATCCCTTAAGCAAAATTCTGCTGTGCTGTCAGTCTCAACCCTCAGTACAGCTTTCATTATGTCGCATGATTATTGTTGCTCTCTAGACTTGGCCTCTTTCTCCTTGTATTGAATAATCGTAGATGTAGATTGTAGACACCTCATTCTTCTTCGCATAGGATAATCGTAGATTTAGATCAAAGACACACCGCTTTCTCTTCGTATAGGATAATCGTAGATTTAGATCGTAGACACACCCATTCTTTTAATATAAGATAATCGTTGATTTAAATCGTTAAGTTTGTATTACTCTCAAAACGTCACTCGTTCCTGTTAGTGTGCGACCTAATATATTTATCTCAGTTTTTATAAATAGTTATGTTTACCCTCAAAATTATTTGTTTTTAAATATATCATCATTGTGCCAGCCAATTTCTATCATGTTCTGTCTGCCTGTCACACACAGTGTCTCTGCCTGTCTAAAATATCTACCTACTTGTCTGTCTCTTTCTGTCTCCCCCCCTTCCTCTTGATACAACACCAGGAGACTAGATAATAATCCCCTCCCTCTACGTTCATTCCAAGAGCCAGATCCGCCATTCTGTGACTTCTTCTGTGCAGACAGCAAGAGGGACCTCGTCTGCGGCAGCGACGGCAGCACCTACCACAACCACTGCGCCCTGATCGTCAGCGCCTGCCGCAGGGGTCAGCAGGTTGTTAAGATCGGCAGCGGCCCTTGTCCCAGGAGTATCAAATTGGGTGATTCCATGTGGACACTCAAAAGGCGTTCGGATCTTGGCTACAGACCGGCCTCTGTTAGGCATCAAGGCGTTTGAAATTGGTCAGTGTTCGAACGTTTGTCTTGCATTCGAACGCTTGATTCGGATGTTCCTCGTGTGTTTGATCAATAGATATACAGGTGTCTGGCTGTCGTTGTAACGTTAGGTAATGACATTAAATGCATTCGAACGTTATATACAAGCGTTCGAACGTTAGATACAGGCATTCGAACGTTAGATACAGGCATTCGAACGTTAGATACATGCTTTCGAACGTTAGATACTTTCAACTGGGATTCGAACGCTAAATACAGACGATTATCTGGCGTTCGGGATGTTAGATGACAGTGTTCGTTTCAAGTTGGAACTCTTAGCGAGGAGGCACCTAAGATTATCACAGCGGGTGTGAGGACTACTTAACTCTTATGACTTACGATGAGGAAATATATTAACCGAGAATGAAATAGAAACGCGTTTAAAAAAGACCAAAAAATCTGAATAACGATGTCAAACCTTAAGTTTTATCGAAGGAATAAAGATCATACAAGTAAATATTTAGATAAAGAAGTATCAGTTACCCTTATTTGTGTGTGTATATATATATATATATATATATATATATATATATATATATATATATATATATATATATATATATATATATATATATATATATATATATATATATATATATATATATATAATATATTTATACATATATATTATATATATATATATATTTCATTCACTACTGTCATCGGGGCTTCGAACACAGGACCACAAAAGCAGTAGCCTGTAGCTCTACCCACTACACTACTGAACACCCACAATATGGAAGGATGTCAACGATATCCAACTGATATCCAACTGCGATCTGAAGCCTTCCCTGGGGTGTCACGGATGTGTAGAGGTACAGGGTGATCCAGGCCCTTACAAATATTAAGACCTTCAAATATTTTAAATACTTGAAGGTCTGAATAATTTTCAATTGATTTAACTGAAGCAATTAGTATTATTCAGCAAGCATTCAGTCCTTTGGAATGGAAGTACCCAAAATTGTTAACCCCTGGGTGGATTACTTTTCACTGTATAGAATACTCTTTAATACCGAACTCCTTATCAAAAACAGCCCGAAGCCGACGGAGAACCCCCTACAGCAGTCAAGCGTTGTATACATGTACACTTGCCCCCACGAAGGATGTAACCTTCAATCTAAGTACATAGGTAGGACGTCGACCAAGCTGACGAGGCGATTGACATGCCATCTTCAATCCGGTGCCCCCAGGAATCACATGAGACAAATACTCTTTAAATGCATAGTGCATAGATTACCGGCATCAGTGTTGGGGAAACCTTGACAATTGCATTTTCTAAGACATGATCAGTTTGTAAAGACTTTACTGGTGAAACTACATCTCACGTCTACTCTAAATTTACACTTAGAAACGTAATTCATAAGTGATTTGTGCAAATCATGAGAGTTATGGCTGGAGCAAACAGGTGAATAGCCGTAAAAAACGTGATTACAACTACATTGGCAAAACATATATGATATGAAATTATAATGAAGAGAATGAAATTTGAAGGATAACTAATGTAAATTGATACGTCTACGCCTGAGAACTTCATGTAACCCTTACCTCCGTATGCAGGTTAGGTCAAGGTTCCAGACAGAGAAGTCTTGAAGCCTTTGTGACCTGCTAGGCATTGTTTAGTTAGTTTAGTTCATTTATTATGCACCCCATACCCATCTTGTGTGCGGTAGTGGAAAGGGTTACAGAGGCACATAATGGGCTCAGGGACTGAACCCCACAATTCATTTAGCTAAGCAAGTTACAATCTTGATGAGCTAGTTACAAAATTCAATATAAGTCATCACATCAACAATGGGTTCGAGATAGACCTCAAGTACAGGTTCTAAATTAAGCAACTGACATATGTGGAGAGCTAGTGTCACAATTTTGAAGGTTATGTTCCATACACATCAGTATTGCACGATTTATCAGTTATCTGAGCCTATATATCACCTACTTGATAGAAAGACAAGATTGGTGATGAACTGAATACCAATCAACCGAGTGAGTGTTAATCAAGCAACCACAATGATTTACTGATGGACCAGCAAGTATATTTTGCAGTGTTAGTCGTGAAGAGGGAGATACGGATGGGCTTAAGGCCTATCAACCTCTAGAGAGTAATCAGGCCACACAACTACCTTAACTGACCAACCAGCAACACTAACCCTGAACATTGTTGTCCAGAGCATAACTTAGTACATGAACACTTAAGTGTAGGGTACAGATATGACGTATATAATCCTTTTGCGAAAAAGAAAATGGATTTGATTTGATGTTGGACTTACCGCCTATCAATCTCTAGAGGGTTATTAAGGCAGAGGCATAATTTACAGGCCAACCAGCAAGTACTTTTCATCCTTAGACATTGTCCAGAACTAAAGTAGAAGTTCTAATAAAGTAGAACTATAGTAGTAAAGTTGTGCAATCCTTTTACACCAAGAAGCATGTTATACCTCTAATTTTATATATTACTTTAGAGCATCTCTCTCTCTATATATATATAATCTCTGACTGAGGAACAAGAAAGGAGTTGAACAGAGATACAATGTTGATGGGAACAGATTAGACTGAAAGTGGCTATATTTTGTTTTGTTTTGCCATGTAGGGCATTTATTGTATGTTTGTTTTTAGTGATATTTATGCATTTGTTTTTTGGCGTGATGAGACATTTATTAAAATTGTTTAACATTGTATTGGTGATTTATTTTTCTTTACCTTGCCATCGGTATTTTGTAACCCCTTGAACAGTAGGTGTAATTCGAAGAGAATGCACAACCACGTAATTGTTGCAGAATGTGTGCTTTGCAACGCGCTCGTGACTGCAATAAGCAATTATCCGTACAACATCCTGGAAGAAAATTCTCTCCCCCCATCCTTAAGTGAACATAACCTCAGCCTCCTTAAAAAAGCACCACCTTGACCTATTCAACCCTATTACATGTGCCGTTGTTTTAATAGAGACTTTAGCTTTCATGACAGCAGTACGTTGGGTATGAAAACAATCGGTTCGAGGGTTAATGATATTGATAATTATTCCATAAAAAGTACATTCATACACAGGCAGAGAGAAATACATTACAACATACATTCATACAAAATGAGAAATAAAAATCAACATACACAATGAATTACAAGCAGCAAGTTGAAAATTAATAGTATATACCATAATTAATACACAACAGTATGGCATACCGCGCCTCTCAGTGTATCTACACTTCAGGGAGTACATTAGACCTGATTGACGTTCAGAATTAAAGTACTGTTTGCTGGTTGGTCAGGAAGGAATTGTGATCGTGAACCCTCTCCTAAGGTTGATAGGCCTTAATCCCAACACCAAACAAATAAAACACTAAAGTTAGTAAGTTAGTAAAGTAAATACACTGTTAGATTAAGGATCTGCCCGAAACGCTGCGCGTACTAGTTGGTTTACAAGATTGTAAATACTATGCTATGTATTCTCACAAACCCATTGTACCTTCTTGTATATAAATAAATAAATAAATATATAAATAAAATACATAAATAAAGGGTGTACTCCACTACAAGGTGTACTTATCCTGAGAGTTTACACAAGTGGTTGGGCAATGTTCAGACCACACACTAGAAGGTGAAGGGACGACGACGACGTTTCGGTCCGTCCTGGACCATTCTCAAGTCGATTGTGACTTGAGAATGGTCCAGGACGGACCGAAACGTCGTCGTCCCTTCACCTTCTAGTGTGTGGTCTGGTCAAACAAGAGTATTGTTGCTGGTTGGTCAGTAAGCACTAATCTTCTCGTGGTTCATAGAACATTTGACGTACATTCTACCCACGACCAAAAATTGTCGTACTAGAAAATGGTAGCGACTCGTAAAATTGACATACTGTCCCGTTTTCTATAATAATAATAATAATAATAATAATAATAATAATAATAATAATAATAATAATAATAATAATAATAATAATAATAATTTTTATTTAGGTAAGGTACATACATAAAGAGATTTTACAAAGTTTGTTGGCTTTATAGATAGAGCTAGTACATACAATGCCTAAAGCCACTATTACGCAAAGCGTTTCGGGCAGTTTTGGGTCAGGATCTGCATGATCAGGGGGCACTTTAGTACGACAGTTTCCAGACGTTGGGAAACCTTGGGAGTACGAGCTAGTCCAACAACGTATCAGAAACAGATGCATCCCAACACCAAGGCCACAAACTGCTTCATCCAACAGAAAACGGGCCGTGATTATATACCATACAACCGAGGAGGAGAGACTTCGAGAGTAATACATTAAGTTGATAGAAACAACAGTCGACTCGTCAGGTTAAGGAAACAATGCATAGTTGAGTTACCTTGAACCAGCCGTTATCATCCAACGAATTCCTATGTCGTCATTTCCTCTCTCTCTCCCTCCTTCTCTCTTCTCATTTCTTCCTCTCCTTCACCCCTTCACCTCTTCCCCCTTTCCAAGAGCCTGACAGCTTCTCCCAAATGCACATAGATGAGGAAATGTAATTACAAATTGCTGCAAGGTGATATGAGGAATATGTGGGGAGAGAGAGAGAGAGAGAGAGAGAGAGAGAGAGAGAGAGAGAGAGAGAGAGAGAGAGAGAGAGAGAGAGAGAGAGAGAGAGAGAGAGAGAGAGAGAGAGAGGCAGGCAGAGAGAGAGAGAGAGAGAGGCAGGCAGAGAGAGAGAGGCAGGCAGAGAGAGAGAGAGAGAGAGAGAGAGAGAGAGAGAGAGAGAGAGAGAGAGAGAGAGAGAGAGAGAGAGAGAGAGAGAGAGAGAGAGAGAGAGAGAGGCAGGCAGAGAGAGAGAGAGGCAGGCAGAGAGAGAGAGAGGCAGGCAGAGAGAGAGAGAGAGAGAGAGAGAGAGAGAGAGAGAGAGAGAGAGAGAGAGAGAGAGAGAGAGAGAGAGAGAGAGAGAGAGAGAGAGAGAGAGAGAGAGAAATGAGTCCATCTCATATATATAAAAAAGTAGACATCGCTCCTGGGTATACATAGTTTACTATAGTCCTGGACTATGTTCAGGACTAAAGTATACTTATTGGTTGGTCGGTAAGCTGATGTGGTGGTCTTAATAACCCTCCAGCGGTTGATAGGCCTTAATAACCCTCCAGCGGTTGATAGGCCTTAATAACCCTCCAGAGGTTGATAGGCCTTAATAACCCTCCAGAGGTTGATAGGTCTTAATAACCCTCCAGAGGTTGATAGGCCTTAATAACCCTCCAGAGGTTGATAGGTCTTAATAACCCTCCAGAGGTTGATAGGCCTTAATAACCCTCCAGAGGTTGATAGGTCTTAATAACCCTCCAGAGGTTGATAGGCCTTAATAACCCTCCAGAGGTTGATAGGTCTTAATAACCCTCCAGAGGTTGATAGGCCTTAATAACCCTCCAGAGGTTGATAGGTCTTAATAACCCTCCAGAGGTTGATAGGCCTTAATAACCCTCCAGAGGTTGATAGCTCTTAATAACCCTCCAGAGGTTGAT